GTACCGCAGCAAATCGGGTTTCACGAAATTGTGGACTGTTTATCCTAGTTCTGGTCGCTACACACGCCTGTATAAAGCAATCGTTGCTTTAAGTAAATTTAAGAAATGATGTTTATTTCAAACTCCTTGCCATATCCACGCATAGTCAAGTTCAAATCTAAATAGAACTATTTTTACATGTGGAGCCCAATAAGTGTTAACAAGATAGGCTTGGCTCCTGTACGTACTATTTAGACCAAGCAAAACTAATCTATCCAGCTTTAGTGCTGGAGGTCACTGTGACATACCTGACGAGTGTTATTCATATGATGTGAGAGCCTCTTCAAAGCATTTGGTGTGATAGGCTCGTTGCCAACACACGTATCAAAGTGTTTTGTTGTTTGTTCTGTATATCCTTATCTGGGTGTGCTGGTTTGCACTGCACATTTGTATGCACGGGCCGTCAGGGTATAGAAACACAGTTTCATAAATACATACTAACATTTGTATAGCGCCGATATCCAGCTTAGCTCAGCTGCTCAAAGGCGCTTTGTTACCCACCTGTAACATAGTGCTCACCCTCAGATACGTATTACGTAGTGTTGGTTATAACTGTTTAAACGACTGGTTGTTAGATGAACGTTCAACGTGAATGGCAGGAGCGCAAGGTGAGTGTTAATTCCTATCAAACATATAAAACATCATGATATGTTTTACGCATGTGAAGTTCGAACATAAATGATTGTGGCAATAAGTATTTGATTTCAATAATACTTGAGTAGCGGTGTTTATACATTCGCTAATCACGCAAGGGTTCTGTGTTTATGTATCACATAATCATGATACCAGGGAAACGTATCCTACTGCACTGCTGGAACTGATCATACAATTCAAGTGTTTACCCGAAACTACTGGGGACATATCAACAAGACGACATAGAGGATTGCATCAGAAAATAAGTTGTGTTATTGTGACCTCAAACTTTAAGTTGGCTCCATCTGTCTACTAGCAGATTGTCCAAAATATTCAGTGAGGCCTTGAATGTTGTACCCTTGATAAAAATGCTTCTGAGCATGACTTGTATGACGATCTATAACAGTGTACCTCAAGAGATGTGATATGTTGTTCCAGTGAAATCTTTGATACAATTGATAACTTTGAAGTGGTTACCCGCACCCTATCAGATCACTTTCCCTTATTATGTTACTTCAGTAGATCAGAAAATCATGTTAGTGAAGATGACGGGGTTGTTTACAAAATTGACAGACACAAGTGGAGGCCGTCAAACTCTGATATATTTCTTAAATCTCTTCGTGTACTTATATCACTGTTGGACATGAACGATTTTTCTCTGCTTTATCAAACAAGCACAAGAGTGAAGCTACTAATATACTTATAAACATTGTCCAAGAAAGCGGAAAAGACGTGAACATGTTATTAAGAAAACGTGTCACTAAAGAAATAAGTGAGGGCTTAAAGAAGAGAAAGTATTCATCATTAGATAAATTCCGATTCACAGGAAACTTCAACTATCTTAAAGAATTTAGAACTTTTGGAACAAATACAAAAGAAGTTTGCCGTAGGAAGTGTGGTTTCATTGACGGATCCAGGTGTGTGTGTGTGTGTGTGTGTTGTGTGGGGGTTGTTTGAACCCTACCCACCCCTTTGAAAATAACTTAAGACCACATTGAAGATTTTTTTGCGTTGGATCCGCTCATGGGTTTTTACTACAATTTACAACCAAACAACTACTGCAATCTTGTAAGGATGGGAACTATGATAAAACATTCTGGTCTGGTGTTCAGTCATTATTATGGTAACCAGTTACACAGGCTACATCTATCAACAGTTTGCAATGGGTTGACTATTTTAGAGACTAGTATTCTGAACATTAAAGATGTTAACATGGACGAAGATTTTATAACCTTTGGCAAACAGTATATATTGCAAAATGAATTTGTAATGATTGATGATGAGTCCAGTAATATTTTAAATAAAGAGATAACCATAAATGAAGTAACAAATGCTTTATCAGCTTTAAAACTTGGCAAAGCATGTGGTCCTGATGGACTACCTCCTGAAATGAGGAAACACGGAGGTCATATTTTACTACCTTATTTGCATGTACTTTTTAATTGTATTTTTAACTCGGGAGACTTTCCTTCTGCTTGGTCACAGAGTATTATCTTCCCACTTCACAATAAGGGAAACAGAAATGATGTTAATAACTATAGAGGCATTTCCTCGATGGACATATGCGGGAAAATATTCACTTATATTTTAAATGAAGGACTGAAATCATTTGTTAATGTGTATAATTTAAATCCAGAATGTCAAGCTGGATTCCGCTCAGGCTATTCAACTGTTGATAATGTTTTTACCCTTTGGCTGAATAATAATCTTTAAACTTCGAATATTGTATCAAATTAATCTTCCTCCATTATGCAAATTCATGTCGCGAGAGTGAGGTGAGGTGAGGTGAAATTGGGTTTAACGTCGCGCTTGAGAATATTTCGCTCATATCACGACGTGCATGCATGTGTATGTGTGTGTGCGGCTGCTTGTACCAGCCCATACTATAGCTGGTTTTATAGTGCTAGCCCACTGAGATACCATGCCGCAGTGAAGCATGAATACCCCACTCAGACACATTATACTGACTCCGAGCCGACCAATCCTTGTTGTACCCATTAATGCCGAGTGCCAGACAGGGACCAACAAGTACCATGTTTTAACGTCTTTTGGTATGACGCAGTCGGGGATCGAACCCGCGACCTTCCGCTCTCCGGGCGGATGCTCTAACCACTACACGACGGAGGCGGTCCATGCCGCGAAAGTAGTACGGTATTAGTGCCAACTTATTGTTATGAGAGTGGTTTTCTTTTGGTAATTTGTAATATCATTGATTAAGTGAAAGTCATTATGGGTCACAATGTTTAAAGTTTGATTCTGGGTTTTGGCTCGCATCTTGCATCATGTTCTATGGCAATAGTATTTTTAGTGGCACGCCTTTTTGATAGCACTTCAGAGTTGCCTCCCTTGGCAATATTGTTTATTTACGGCTTTCATTATGCCGTGTGTTCCACATGATTTCATAACGTTCTGAGGGAATAATGATGGAGTATAGCTTTGCCAGAATGTTCGAGAACTGTATAAAGGCCGGTTGTTGCGTTGTGCGACACGGACCTATCACATTACTGGAGTTATACACATCTCTCTGCCATCGTAAAGTTGTTCACATTCAAGACTGACCGTGCTTGCCTTCAGTTATTGTAAACAACCTTCAGTCAGTATATCTGCTCTCACTGTAAATGTCAAGACTCTGGTGAGTTACTATTTTAATATTTGTGACCCATTATTTTAGATTTGTGACTCAATTGCATTGTACTAGAAATCTGTATTGTCATTCATTGTAGTTTGCTCATTGTTCAATATATTATTGAATATTTTAGACTTGTCTGTGTTCTATTTTGCTTGATCAAAGGGGACTCTTAAACCTTTTGTCACGGCAAATTATTAACCATAACAGTATTAATGTGCGGTTATTAAGCTATCATTTTCAGGAATGTAGACAAGGGTAATTAACCAATCAGATTGCGGAAAAAAATCACTATATGGAATCATTTTTGTCAACTTTATATAACAAAGATTTAAGAAGACTTTTATCACTTTTAAGATTAGGTGAATTAAATATTATGACTACAGGTAGAAGAAATAATATCCCAAGAGAATTAATATTTTGTCCATTTTGTAAGAACATTTTAGAAGATGAGGTTCATTTGATGTTTATTTGCCCAAAATATAATGATTTCAGAACAAGATATATGTTAAATATTGACTGTAAATATTAAAATTCTCTCATTAGCCTTCTTCAAAATGAAATAGCAACTATTTATATATGTATGCAAAATATATTAAGGAAGCATTTATGAGACGTATCGCATTATCATTGTAAATATATAAATATATGTTTTAGTTATTGTGCACATCATTCCTTTTGCATTGTATTATGCATTGTACATGGGCCAGTGGCCTTTCTACTGAATAAAGTTATATATATATATATATATATATATTTAGATATATAGATATAGATATAGATATGTTCACAAGTAGTGAATTAATCGCTCTCGTTACATTGACTTCTTTTGGCCTTCAGAAGCACTATGGGCAAATCCAAACAGCAAAATCAATACACCAGTCAATATTTTCTTCACACCGTTGTCAAGGGATAGCATAACATACCCACAATGTAGAAATGTTTGAAGCATGTGCATGATAGAACGCATATCGACGCAGATCAACCAATTATCAATGAAATACAGTCTGTCCATATCACATGCCCCAGGAAAACCGGAGGTACAATAAGATAAGTCTCACCCTGGTATCATCGATTATGATATTATGATAAAACACAGTATTGCTTGTCATTTGTTCAAGTAGTGCTTATACTCTGTAACGATATTGGATCTGCCTTAGCTTTACAACCATGCCTGGAAATTTGAATGGTTTATATGTCAACAGGTGGATGTCATCCTGCAGAAAATTAAATTTCTTTGTGATATGAACTGACAAAATTTCAAGCATTTTGGATTTAATTCTTTTTCGCCTGCCTACTAATAGTTTACTGTGAACACCTGTTTCCTGTTTTGTGAATAAAATTAATTTAATCATTTCAGATGCCTGTGATTTGTGCGAGACTGCTGTTAATGATGACGACATCCCTTTACAAGAGCCATTTCGCCTAACAATCGACATCAAAGCCACCCTGGTCAACAAACCACTCACAAAGGAAGATAAGAAAATCCGGAAGACTGCCAGGGAGGATAAAATTGAAGAGCTGACCAAAAAGGTTTCAGCCTTGCGAAACGCTGGAGGAGGGGCTTTGCTCGTTCATCTGCAAGGTCTGTCACCCAATGATCGCTGTCTCGCGCTCTTTAACGAATATGTCGATGACACGTTAACAAAACTGATCGAAGACGGAGTTCTGTTTGTAGACACATACACCAAAATCTGGCTGAGTGAACACACGACGAGTGAAGGATACCAAGAGTATTTGCTGCTTATTGTTAAGTCATCCCCTTCTTTGACCACAGCAGATTTCAAAACCAAGGTGACTTCCGACGAAAACTTAACACGTCCAACAACCCTCAATATTCAAAAATTGTTGTTCAGCGAGAAACAACAAAAGGAAAAACGTCCAAGAATAAGAGGCCTAGAATCCATCCAGGAAGGCAGGGATATCGAATTTAAATCATTTGACAAGACATTATTTGATGGAATCATTAAACAATCAAATGTTCAAAAAGTACTAGAATACATTTGGAAGGATCTCAGACTGAGAGAATATATTTCCTGTTTCACAAAAAACCAAGACGGTGGTTCCTATTACCTAGGAATAGGCGAAGGTTTAGAAGACATTACTGGTTATAATTACAAGACAAAGTCCAAGATCCTTTCTGGGATTCGTGTTGAACCGAGATTACACGAGACTGTAAAAAAAGGTTTGACAGAGTTGATCAGGCAACACACAACAGTTCAAAAAGGGAATGTAGCCCAACCTCGTAGTGCAGACTCGCTGGTGAAATTTAAGTTTCATGAAGTGGACAAAGGCCGAGTGTACATCCTTGAAGTGGCAGTAGGGTACACGCCTGGATGTGTCTTCTATGATACGCCAGACGTCTATACCATGGTTGAGGGGAGTAATCAAATGAAAGCAGTAGACTTCTCCGAGTGGCTTGAAAAAGTGAAGACTTTCCAACCTGCTCATCAGTCCAAATGAGTGATAACAGACGACAAGAAGGAGTGATTTGATAAGTGGACACATTTTAATACCGGACAATCTGACTGAAGGGACCAATAGCCCTTGAGGGTGTGTCCTGTCATTTTCAACGTTATCTTCAAGGAGAAAGTTACAAGTCATATATTATAGCAGTAATTGGTATTCCGCCCTATTTATTGCCGATGTGACGTTAAATATTAACTCACTCACTCACTCACTCCGCCCTATTATGATAGAGAAAATGACTTGTTGCTTATAATCTCAATCATCACAGGATAAACACAGGTTTCGGACTGTAGGCAGCTGAAACATTGCATATGTCCAACTGACAATCAAGCTGTAAAGATGGTTTGTGGTTGTAGAAGTACCGAAACATTTTCTAGTGGGACTAGCTGAGGTCATTATTACACTTACTTCAAAACTGTTTAAACAGATGTGATCCAGACTTTGCGTGTGTCCCTTTGAATGATCCCTCGAATTCTGTTTTCTAAATGTTCGTAAAACCTAATGGTTATATCTTTCACATTGAATTAAATCTTTTTATTAATATTGTATGGTATCCAGGTGAAGGAAAGCGTGTGTACCATGGCCGGTGTCGCCTATATGAAAGGTAAACACTTTTCTACTGTACCCCTTGTTTTTATTTTTTAAATCAGTAAAGAGATATTCAGATATTTACCACAACGAAATGCTCATTGGAAATGTTGCATTATCCCGCGAAAAACGTCTTACATTTCAGGTCTGGTCACAGAGATTAAGTTTGTTGGTTTGTCATCGTCCAACGGTTAATCCGACGGGTGATATTTGAGATCTTTATTTCCTAACATTACTTGCCATGATGTGATATCACCAAAACTTGTGCTAAAAACACTCATTCTTTCAGAACCACGACACACAGAAGTTGTTGTTTCATGGCCAAGTAACTCCCCACTTCTTCCGAGGGTCCGACTGCAAGAGGAACTATTTGAAGCAATCCAGACGCATGTCCTCACTTCTGGTGACGTATTCACAGCATACATTGTGATGACAAATTCTTAAGTGGGACAAATTGGTTACATTTGAGTGGAAGTGACGTTTTGTTTATAATCGTGAGGTTATGAAGGTAGAAGCTATAACCGGAATTATCGTATTAATCACGAGAATATCATATAACATTCCTCTATCAGTTATCATTTATTGAACAATCATGACGACCAGTGAAGGATGTTTTTTTGCAATGCTTTGTTTCTTCAGGTAAGCTGTCGGTATATCCACCAAAGACTGCTCGTACCATGTCCGACATCCTATACCAGAGAATTCAGACTCATGGAAAACATTTCGAAGGAGGATTGTCCTTTGTGACAAGATCACTAGCAGTGGTGTTGAATTTCCCAAAGGTTTATATTCCAGATGGAGTGATATCGGAAGTATTCTATGTTCTTCCAGATCGTCCATCAATGATCCTCTGCTTTGTGTGTGAGAAAAGAGACGATCTCGGGAAATATGTTCTCCGTCTTGCCCGGAGAGCAATAAATCAAATCCGGAAGTATACAGATGAACATTTCAGCGCAGTCTATGGTCTTTTGGACCCTGGTGATTTAGAATCAGACAACCTATTCGCCGATGCCTTGAGGTCAATTGAAGACAAAACCTCTGCTTTATGCAGCTTGCATGCACTTAGCATGAACAGTGTGAAATGTATGAACATAATACGTGCCTTTCTTGCTGCAGTAGCAGTTACTGATCTCACAGAAGGAGACAGCATGAAACCGGAACTGCGCTTACTGTCCAAACAACATTTCTGCAAGTTGGTGGAAAACATTGATGAGGACAGGGTAGTGATTGACAAGGCCACAATTCCAGAAGCAGAGATACTTATGATCGAAGTAGCAAGGAGGCTAGAGAAGAGGGGACAAACCATCCTTCTTGTCCAGGAGGACCTAAAGAAAAAGCTGCAGTGAGTGGTTGGACTCATAATTCAGAATATATACAACCACCATAGCTGTTCCATATCTTACCGGGCCAATGCTAATGTGGGTTTTCTGCACTGCCCAATGGGTACCTGTAAGAAGGAGATGTATTCACAATGATAAATGAGGAATTGGACTAAATAACATATCTTTATTTTTCCAGAGAACAACATGCAGACATTGTGTCTCATATACTTGCTTCTGACGAACTGGAAGACGTTTCTAGAGATAACTATCCTAACATACAACACATCGTCGCAGACAATATGAAAATGAATGACATCAAGAAACTTCAACTGGACGATGAAAGAAGTGGAAAAACTGTCATTTGGCTTTTCCACAATTCTGAGGGTAACTATGTAATGGAATTACTAACTGGTTGTAAACTAATCTACATTAGATATTCTTACAACAGGAAGAACGAAATCAGAGAGTTTAAAATGTATATCACAGTGATATATCAATTTTTTCTTTGGTATTCTGACAGCTCGAGAAAACGCCACACACAAAGGACCGCATTCCCTTGAGGGTGCAGGTGAATTGAGAGACGACAACAGTGGTAAGAACAAACCAATTCATTATTTTGACTCCACTGTAAATTGTAAAACAAACCATACGTCTACTAATGCTCTAAAAGGCTCTCAAAACATTGTAAGGAAAGGCTTTTGTGATCCATGGGCAATCTCATGCTACAAAACAATCTGACAAATAGAGATATAATGCTGGGTCCAGGAAAATGTACAACCAAATCCATGTTGCAAATAGTGACCATATTGCTGAAACTAAATGTAGAAGATTGATTTTACATATTCTCCGAAAGTATCTGGGACCAGTGGAATACATACCATATGGGTTCATAAAAATAAAAGGATTTAAAATAAAGTTCACTGAGAAAGTGATAATTTAGCATTTTCAAACTGTCTAACTCAGTTTGAAATTTGAGTAAAAACTTTAGTTTGTTTCGAGAAATCTGGGCCTGGTATATGGAAGATATTATTCCATAATGGACAAATAGCAAGTTCCCTTCCACTCATATATAACATTAGCTAATATAAACGAAACAGTGAAACAGCCTTGTCCATTTCAAAAGCATTTGGATCTATACATCAGGATTCTTATCCTTGACATGGAAAAAACTGTATGACAAAGTAATGGTTCAGCCTTTTCTTCCTGTTCGCTGTTTGTCGCTGTGTGTGATGTTGCAACCTACCGTTTCCATCCAGGTATTATCGCAAGATTATGATACAGCCGATATTGAATGATGCAGCTGATGCCATTCATGGTTTGATCTTCAGGCCATGCTGCATTTGTACTTTCAAGTATTCACTTACTTTCAGAACTCAGTTTTTCTGGAGAAACATCTACTTATGAAAGTGCTGATGACATGAGCCGTTCTAGAAATGAGGATGGGTACTGGTCGGGGGTGACTGAATCTGATGATGACGACATGGAGGCAATACAATCAAGTGATGATGCAAGGGAAGCAGGTGAAATACAGCTGCAAGATAAGTCCAGAGATGACAGTCTACGTGGTAAGACTATTTCCGAATACGCTTTGTCTAATGCTGCCTTACATTATCTTTGTGGCACTGTTATTATATTGTTATCTTTGTAAATTCTCCACCTTGCCTAATGTAAACATGTTCTATCTATATATATTGATTATGTGCACTTTTGACTCAGTATTCACTTGATGAAGGAGAAAGAATTATCTCTGAAACATCCTATGAAGAACAAAAAAAGAGAAGTTGTTATCCAGACAAATTTCATGTATTCATTGCTCATCTGATCTAACAGGAATTTCTAAAAACGTTCAGACGTTTTTTCAGCTCTTGTGTTCAAATGCCAGTCTGTCATTCTTGCACAAAATATTTAGTTAAAATACCACTATGATGAATATTTATGACTGCATATTCCAATTTCAGACTGCGCTGAGCAAACCATCAAGGAAAGTATTTCAGGAACGGCATCTTCACCGCTGCTGCCTCATGTGACAAAATGCCTTAAGGAACATTTTTGTACAACGATCATTGGTCAGCCCGGTGATGGCAAAACTACTCTTGCTTTCCAGGTTTTGTCTGAAATGCACAGAAAGAAATGGAAAGTTTATATTGTGGAAACACCACAAGATTATTTTCGGATCCAAAAGAGTGACAGGTATATCATTCTTTTCAGCAACATTTTTGGCAATCCCAACTTTCAGTTTGACCACTACCGAAAATGGCATCCTGTCCTGCTGGACGTAAGTCAGGAACAAGTAGCGTCGGCTTCAAGATGTCAAGTGGTATATACAATATTCCTGTTCAGGAAAAATGTGTTTCAAACAGCACTCAAATATATCACTCCTTTCAAAAATACAATTTTTTCTGAACGTCAAAGAATTGACTTTGAAAAGATTTATAAAGCAGAAGGGAAAATAACACTGGATACTGACAGGACAGCTGATAAAACATCAAATGATCATGTCACTGATTGTTCAAAGACAACATCCCCCCTGCTACACAAGCTGTGTATGATGATAACACTAAGACATGAAGTTTTTAACACTCAGGCCATGGACAGGGAAAGTAGGTTTCGACATATCCTCAACAACTTGATGGTCAATGAAGGGATTCTGTCTACTTTACAAATCTGTATCCATCAGAACTGCATCCCACATCCAGCTGAACTCTCAAATTTGCAACTAAGAAGACTGTGCACAGGGGCCGGGGCATCTCCTTTGAGAAGTAAGCAGCTCACTGAGGCACTTACACAGATGGACAGATACATCCTTAAGAAGTCAGCTCATGGATTCGTGTTCTCACACTCATGGACTTCAGAGGTAGTTGCGAAGGTTTTGGCTGAACATGATGAAACTACATTTATAGTTCATTGCAGTCTCAAGTATTTAGAGTATGTGCGCTTTGAGCCAAATGAAGTTGCAGAGTTTGATTATGCCATTATCGTCCCCCAAAAGTCAGCAACGGTTCTTGCACAACGTCTGCGTGAAGAATTGTTGAAAGGTCATCTTCAGTTTGTCATGTCCCACATGTCACTGACACATCCAGTCGTGTGCGACGCAATTCAAACACTGCTTCAAAGAGAGAATTTCAAAATGAGAGATGCACACTCAAAGAAACAAATACTGTCCTTCATTCCTATTTGCAACATACCCTCCTTAGAACTGAAATTGTTGGAAGTAGCTTCAGGAGGTATTTCCACAATGCAATGCCTTCGTATGTGTAGCAGATATGGTAATGTAAGACTCATGAGACTGCTTATCGAGAAGATCGAGAAAAATGCTCCCATGCTGCAGCAAAAGAGATACAACGTAGGAGAATTATTTAGAACCTGTGCTAAGTGGAACCATGCAGAAGGATGTGAGGTTTTGTTGAAGTATGTGGATGTCAACTGCATCGGTAAACGGGGCAACACAGCCCTTCACTACGCAGCCAGCTCGGATAACCTGGAACTGTTATCGCTCCTCTTGAATCAGGATGATATTGATGTTGATGTTCTGAATAAGAAAGGGGAGACCGCGTTGGCAATGGCTTTGTATTGTAAGCATGAACAGGTGGCAGAAACTTTGATACAAGCTCGAGCCAATACACTCCTCAAAGATAAGTATGGTCGGACAAGCTTTCTGATAGCAGCACTTGTTGGGTCTGTGTCTATTCTAGAATTGTTACTGATATCAGATCATAGATGCATTTATCACTGTGATGCCTTTGGAAACACGGCCTTACATCTGGCAGCAATAAAGGGCCAGACAGAGGTGATCAAACTTCTCTTAAAAGAAGGTTTAGACATTCAGAAAGGAAACATGGACAGGATGACGCCTCTCCATATTGCAGCTACAAATGGACGATACTCTGTTGTGGATCCCCTTCTCAGCATAGAAAGAAATTCAGCTACTTCTAGAGAAGACGGAAAGCGTTTTGTCCGAGGTGTGTCTGTGGATCTTAAAGATATTCATGGCATGGCACCGATTCACTACGCAGCCATTTGGGGTTATGAATATGTATTAGGAAGACTTTTGCAAAACAAGAGCGAGGTTAACCTGATGACCGAGAAATCTGAAACTGCACTGCACTTAGCAACTCAGGGCGGCCACATTGAAGCTGTACAATCCCTTCTGAAAAACAAGGCTGATGCGAACTTGTCTGATTGGAAAGGAAGAACTCCTCTTCACATTGCTGCCGAGGAAGGACATCTAAAAATAGTAAAACTCTTTCTCAGGGAGAAGGTAGACACTCAGAAGGTCGATGAAGACAACAAAACAGCTCGTGAGTTAGCTTTTGCAAATAAACATCGAAGCATTGTGAAGGAGATTTCCAAAGTTCGAAAGAAAAGAACTGAAGAAACAGAACTCTCTCAATACAAGTTAGACAGCTGGCTTGACCGGCGCTCTTCGAGGTCTAAAGTGCAGAATACAGTAAACTTTGTACCATTTGTGATCGCTATCATTCTTATGGTTTTGTCGTGTTTTTTCTCCACTATCATAACGTAGATCTCCGGTGATTGATCTAGTCACACAGTCGACAAAAACATCCTCTTAAGGTTACAAGAATCAATTTGGAGTGGTTTAAAGTACCTGTCATTTTGGAAGTTCAGACAATTGTTCCTTATACTTAATTTTATGTACCTGTCATTGGACATATTTGAAGTTAGCAACCCGGACCTGATTAAGAGAATGTGTTTGTAGATTTGCAGTGATCTAGTTATAGAAATTTCGCAGCTATCTTGCATGTCACAACCCATGGAGTCATTGGACGGATAATCGAGACTGGTTGTGTTCTTGTGGTGGCTTTACCTAGTATCTTCCTGGTGTTGGGGCCCTTACTTGTGGTGGCTTTACCTAGTATCTTCCCTTGTGTTGGGGCCCTTACTTGTGGTGGCTTTACCTAGTATCTTCCTTGTGTTGGTGCCCTTACTTGTGGTGGCTTTACCTAGTATCTTCCTTCTGTTGGGGCCCTTACTTGTGGTGGCTTTACCTAGTATCTTCCTTCTGTTGGGGCCCTTACTTGTGGTGGCTTTACCTAGTATCTTCCTTGTGTTGGTGCCCTTACTTGTGGTGGCTTTTACCTTGTACTTATGTGATGATTGGAAAGGGTTTTCATGCTTTTAGTTTAAGAGTTTAACAGTTTTCATCGCTTTAAAGAATATAGAAATATTTTTATCGCTTCTATTTCTATGGGGGATGGTTGGTAGCCTAGTGGTTAAGTTGTTCGCTCGTCACGCTGAAGATCCGGGTTCGATTCCCCACATTTCTGTCCATTTCTGGTGTCCCCATGCGTTATGTTGCTGGAATATTGCTAAAAGTGGCTAAAAGACACACTAAACCCACACTCAGTTAGAATATAGAAATATTTTTATTGCTTCTATTTCTATGGGTTTACTAGGATATGTTAATGCATTGTGTGATGCCATGCATTCTGACACAAAGTTGACATGTAGTCAGTGGACTTTCTTGTGATTAGGGAAAGGTTTTATTACTTTTATGATTATATTTTGCTTTGATTATGTGATGATTTGAAAGGGTTTTCACGCTTTTAGTTTAAGATTTCAACAGTTTTCATCACTTTAAAGAATATAGAAATATTTTTAACGCTTCTATTTCTATGGGATTACTAGGATATGTTAATACATTGTGTAATGCCATGCATTCTGAGACAAAGTTGACATGTAGTCAGTGGACTTTCCTGCGATTAGCAAAAGGTTTTGTAACTTTATGATTATACAATGAAATGTTATTACGTTATTATGTCAGTAAGCGACGCCATGTATTATGTCAGTAAGTTTACATGTCACCAGGAAATGTTACTACATAGTGTGACGCCATGTATTATGTCAGTAAGTTTACATGTCACCGATAATGTTATACATAGTGTGACGCCAGGTGTGTTGATACCATGTATTCTGACACAAAGTTGACATGTAGTCAGTGGACTTTCTTGTGATTAGGGAAAGATTTTTGTATCTTTTATGATTATACAATAAAACGTTATTACGCTTGTGCGACGCCATGTATTATGTCAGTAAGTTGACATGTCACCGATAATGTTACTACATTGTGTGATACCATGTATTCTCAAAGTAAGTTCACATCTATGAAATCAAATCATATCAGTCTTACATGACCATCCTAGTTACATTGAACACATTGGCACGTTGAACTGACCACTTCTACTGCTCACAGGACATATATCAGCTGTGAACACTGATGCCATGCTGTTCTGCTGACAACATTAAAAGAACAAATGATAATGAACTACAATCACCATGGACTTATGTACTTTATTCATAATAAATGTTGGTTCATGAGACTTGATGTCCATTCAAAACATGGCCAGAAATGCATATGAAATATAATATACAATTTCTGTGTTAATTTCTGTAGTACTCCTGAAGTTTAACTTTGACATCAAATGATACATTATTGTATCACCTGAGAAGGTAAACAATGTATGATTATAGCAAATTAAAATTTAAGGTCCCTTTGAGTTTATTTTAAACGTTATTTACTGTAGCATTTAAAGGACCTCAGTTTTTATCATAAAAGTATAGTTTGTATCAAACAAGAGTCATCAGAAAATGACATATCCCCCTGGCCCCCACATCTTTGAAAGAACAAATCATCTGACAGTTACTTAAAGTCCAGCTTGATTTTACACTAAGTGCAAATCGTTTCCATGGAAATGATGAAAAACATAAATAACAAACATCTGCAAACAGCAAAAAGGCACCACTTCAAGATCTGCCTCACATAGCTGCCAAGTTTTACTGAAAGATATTAAGAAGTTTTTGAAACGAAACCCACCTCTCCCTTTTGAGACTAAGTCTAAATCGTTTCCATGGAAACCGGGAAAAATAAAAAAGACAAAAATCTGTAAATAGCAAAAGGCACCACTTTGGGATCTGCCTCACATATCGGCCAAGTTTTGCTGAAAGATATTGAGAAGTTTTTGAGTTGTGCTCCGGAAACGAAACCTACCCCTCCCTTTTGAGACTAAGTCCGAATCATTCCATGGAAACAGGGAAAAATAAAAATGACAAAAATCTGCAAATAGCAAAAGGCACCACTTAAGGTTCTGTTTGTTATATCTACCAAGTTTTGTTGATAAATATTGAACGGTTCTTGAGTTATGCTCCGGAAACGAAGCCCACCCCTCCCTTTTGAGACTAAGTCCGAATCGTTTCCATGGAAACCGAGAAAATAATAATCACAAAAGTCTGCAAATAGCAAAAGGCACCACTTTGGGATCTGCCTCACATATCTGCCAAGTTTTGCTGAAAGATATTAAGAATTTTTCGATTTGTGCTCTGGAAACGAAGCCCACCCCTCCCTTTTGGGACTAAGTTCAATTTGTTTCCATGGAAACCAGGAAAAATAAAAATGCCAAAAATCGGGAAATAGCAAAAGGCACCACTTAAGGTTCTGTTTGTTATAACTACCAAGTTTTGTTGAAAAATATTGAACGGTTCTTGAGTTATGCTCCGGAAATGAAGCCCACCCCTCACTTTTGAGTTTAAGTCCGAATCGTTTCCATGGAAACCGGGAAAAAATAAAAATGCCAAAAATCTGCAAATAGCAAAAGGCACCATTTAAGGTTCTGTTTGATATATCTACCAAGTCTTGTTGAAAAATATTGAACGGTTTTTGAGTTATGCTCCGGAAACGAAGCCCATCCCTCTTTAAGACTAAGTCCAAAACGTTTCCATGGAAACCGAGAAAAATAAAAATGACAATAATCTGTAAATAGCAAAAGGCACCACCTTAGGTTATGTTTGACATATCTACAAATTTTTGTTGAAAAATATCGAACAAGTTATGCTCCAAAACAAAATGATTACTGGACCGGACGTGGGGATAAAAGTACTTTCCACTGTATTTGCCACAAGATGTCTCAAGACATAATTCTATCCAATTCCATAGATCTAGTTGTATGTCTTCAACCAATGAAAAATATTCCATTCAGTGTGATAAAATTCAACCGCCCTGGTCGTCCCGAGCCATGGCTGGATCCAACAGATACAGGGTCTTGACTGTCGGACCTTATCGTGGCTCTCGAAGTTACCAAGGTTATGTGGATACACATGATACCAGTGAAAGTCACAATCAGAGATGCTAACCCCAAAGTGTTGCAAAAAGTAGTTGCAAGGATCAAAATTAGTAGTTTGACCATAAAATTAGTAGTTAACTGTACTTAAAATCATGATGGATTCTGAGAAAGATAATATGACATTAATCAAGAGTGAAGCTTTAATTTCACATACATTGTAACTTCAACAGCAGATTTCCAAATTATCAGCATTACATTTCTTCTTGTGATCTCTTTTTAATGAAAACGTATTTAATAGACAAAAATATATGGTTTTGTCTATATATCCGAATTTCAATGAATTTTCTTCAAATTTCATAGAATTTCAAGTGCAATCATATTGGCGTAGTATGAGGCTAAAATTCGTAACGAATATGATAAAATCGTAGAGTTGGCATCTCTGTACAAAATATGCACTCTCACACACATCATACACACAGACACAAAACACAATGCACACCAACTCTCTCCATGTTCTTTCCTTAGGCTATGACTCGTATGTATGTCAGTTTAAAAGACTTACATTGTAATCTTTGTAACAGTAAATATAAACATAATTTACACCAAAATATATACTTGTATTGGATGAAACATGAAACATACAACACAGTTTCTGAAGTATCACAGTAAGATATAAATATTTTATCAACATATCAGGGTTTTCAACAGAAGCAAGTGGATGAAGAACACATTAACTTTTGACTTAAGTTTAATTGGGGAGAAATCTATAACAAGTGGCCTTTTAAATCTGAGGCAAAATGAAAAACAAAGAATTACTGTTAGTCAAGGGTTTTTAGGGGTTTGTCTTCATTAGACCAAAACCAAATTCATCAATCGTATACAGATCTTTACTCCCAAATACTGACTGCAGCTTGGAAACGTTTTCTAAAAACATGTCACAAATAAATCAGATGCTAGAAATATTACTGCATCCTGTCTTTTCCATAGCGTGTCATTTACTCCATTATGCCTTCTACTGCAGTATGCCTATTCATGTAGTATACCTTTTCCTGCAGTATGTGTGCCTAGTATTTTAGTATGCCAATTCCTGTAGTATGCCTATTCCTGTAATATGCCTATTCCAGTAATATACCTATTCCTGCAGAATGCCAATTCCTGTAGTATGCCTATTCCTGCAGTATGCCAATTCCTGTAGTATGCCTATTCCTGCAGTATGCCAATTCCTGTAGTATGCCTATTCCTGCAGTATGTATGCCTATTCCTGTTGTATGCCTATTACTGTAGTATGTCTATTCATGCAGTATGTGTGCCTATTATTGTAGTATGCCTATTCCTGTAGTATGCCTATTCCTGTAGTATGCGACCGCCACCGTGTAGTGGTTAGAGAGGAAGGTCACGGGTTCTATCTCCGGCAGCGTCATACCAAAAGAGGATCAAATATGGTACTTGTTGGTCCCTGCCTGTCGCTCGGCATTAATGGGTACAACAAGGACACACACACACATGTATCATCATAGAAGTGAAATATTCTTAAGTACGAAGGTAGTATGCCTATTCCAGTAATATACCTTTTCCAGTAGCATGCCTATTCCTGTAGTATGCCTATTCGTGTGATATGCCTATTCGTGTAATATGCCTATTCCTGTAATATGCCCATTCCAATAGTATGCCTATTCATGTAGTATCTCTTTTCCTGTAGTATGCCTATTCCAGCAGTATGTCTATTTCTGTAGTATGCCTATTTCTTGTAGTATGCCTATTCCTGTAGTATGCCTATTCCAGTGGTATGCCTATTCCTGTAGTATGCCTATTCAGGTTTATGCCAGTTACTACTATTACATTACTTTGCCTATTTCTGTATTTCTGTATAGTCCTGTTACTTCCTCAAATGTTATCAGGGAGTATCCTGCACTTGTATCTATGATCAGACTTTCTGCACAGTGATTCATTTCACCTTAAGGAAAACAAATCTCCACAGCCATTCATGGCACCATAAGGGACACAAATCTACATAGTGATTCCTGACACCTTAAGGGACATGACATGCCTATACTGTGATATTCGAGTCCCAACATGTATCAATATACATGTACTTACTTTGATACTCCAAGAGACGCTCCCAAACTACTAAAGTACTGTCGGAAATGCTAGAAAAATGCTTTTTGACTTATATTTAAAATTCAGAGGTATTACAGTTACTTAAATAACAAATATCACTTCAAGAAACATCTACCTAATGTAGACCGAGGGAATAAATGTTAAGACATGCTCTAAAATGTGTTTTTACTGATGAAACTACCAAAAACTTAGAAAAATAAGGGGTAGTGGGACGTTATTTGATACAAACATTAACTGCCTGTGTTATGTCATCAGCATCCACGGTATCGACAGGTGAAATTGACACCTGAGCACACGCTCGGGCGAGGGGTCATCTCAATAGATGTTTTCTGCAAAATGTTGAATATGTGTACGTATAGTATATGTATTGGTTATGTAAGGGATCATTTGTGTATGTGTGTTTGTTTTGAAATAAACATACGAATTACTGTACATTGGAAAGAATCCTATCACATGTGTTTTCTTATCGATTGATTGTAGAAATGTGCAACGTTTTAATAAATGTTTTACATGTCAACAGTATATTTCATTGAAAAAATATGGATGTAATTCGGTCAGTTTAATCTAGTAGTGAATATTGGCCAAAGATTTAACGAAGTCACTGGTGTAGCTTCTTTAGAATATATATATTCTTCTTCTCATTAAGTTTGTAGACCGCCCGTCTAAGCACTCCCTTGTCAAAGTTGTCAAGGATGGTTTTACGTCCCGGTTTTGCTTTTGAGACGGTCCCTGTCTTGTCTGATTTGTTTACAATATTGTAAACTTGTTGGTAAGACATACCAACAGCTCTACAAGTTCTGTAATAAACCCTTTCTAAACTAATGAAAGGTTTAGAAAAAAATTACAAAACTTTGCAACAATCGACTGCAAATCGTTGGCCATAGTGGACGCTGTGATAAAGATGTGCATGCATGACGGGAAACTTATTTATCAAGACTTAACATTTATATTAATATTTCTTCAATAAAGAAATGATAATTAAGTAAAGTAACACAAACATTCAACATTTATTTGTTTAGGAAATACGTTAATTCATATTTTTACACCACCTGTATTATTAGCATAAATGTAAAGACTATTTCAGATTTCTGTTGTTTAACTCAG